GCCAAGTCCAGTGGGTAGCCAGCCTCTCTGTGACGGTCTTCCCCAAACTCCTGGATTGGACCTCGTTCACCATGGGGGCACGTCCCCACGATGGACTGAGGAATACAACCTGTTCCAGTGTCTGGACACCACTCCCAGCTGGGAAGATAATTCCTTGGGTCAAGTGAAGACCACCTCAGGAGATGAGTATGTCTGCTCAGGACAGAAGCCATCACCCACGGTTGGAGGAAGCCCCAGTGTTCCGATGACTTCAGTTGGAAACCAAACCCTACATGTGGATGGTGCTACATCCCCTGCCAGATCCTTTGGGACCAAAGGTCAAACTCGGGAGAGCTCTTCAGATTTCCCTTCTGGCCTGGGACAGCTTCCACAAGAGAAGTCACACCAGGACACTCAGAGTCCTGGGACTCGAAAGAATTCTCCCACTGGCAGGTTCTTCTGTACCTACCAGGGCTGTGGGAAATCTTACACAAAGTCTTTCCACCTCAAAGACCACATGAAGAAGCACACTGGGCAGAAGGCCTATGTGTGCAGTGAGCCCGGATGCCAGTGGAAATTTTTCCGCTCTGGAGATCTCCAAAGACACAAAAGAAAGCATGGTGGACAGCGACTTCACCCTTGTGCCAGGTGCAACAAGAATTTTTCCAGACTGAATTATCTCAAGCAGCACCAGAGGGTCTGTCCTGGAGCCTTATCAAAGCCAGGAAGCTGACTGACTGCACACAAACAGTATCTTACTTAGTAAAATTAATTGTTTCCACTATAAACATTGTCAACAAGCACTATCTGTTAATCTTGTCTGTAGATGATAAAATAAAATAAAGATTGAGACTTTGAAACTCTTCCAAATTATTTTAGACCAATTGCTTCACACAGCTAGTTGGATTTTCTTAGTTCTCCCATTCATCTTTTGTTTGTTTGATATAGACAGAGTTGAATTAGGGAACACTGGCAGCCCTCAACTCATGAAATCCAACCTCTTCATTCTGTATGCTGCTTCTAAAGTTTTAAGCCAGTATGACTTACTTATTTACACTTTAGTACTCAGTGTTTACAGGCATTTCTTTAACTCCAGGTGAGCTGCTGTTATTACGTTGGGCAATGGTGTTTAAGCAAAATGTTTTGCCACCAGGTCCCACAGCCATGGATTCCCAAATAAACACATAGAAGTCTGTATAAATCATAAACTGGTTGACCTTGAATCTCAGGATTCCTATTAACTAATACTTCCATCTTACATTTACGCTTTGTTCTATTCTGTGTGAGACAAGTGGCTTGGTACCTAAATCAGCAAGGTAGTAGCTTCTTTTGACCTCTGCATCTGGGAGAGGACCTCAAACTGAGTCTTTCCTCTTCCCAGAATTCTCCAGTTCTGTTTGTCCCACCTCTCCTTCCTGACTGTTAGCCTGCTTATCCTTCCTGCCTGCCTACTAGTCAATCAGAATTTTATAAAAATACAATTGAGAAAAAAAATACAATTGAAGGGTACAGGCCATTGTCCCACAGCAATTCCCCCCACCCCCACTTATATAAAAAAGAAAACAAAGCAAAACATCCCAATATACCAAGTACTCTGAATCGAATTGCTTTGGTCATCTTTTCTCCTGTCCACAAGCCATTACAACTTGTAACAGACATTCTATAGTAAGGCAGATATCCATAATCCACATTTTGGAAATATGGATGGAGTTCTCCAGGCTACTTCTTGATGATTGTGGATACTGATTTTCTTCCGGGGACCTAAAGACAATTTAAGATTATGGTCAATTCCTGATTGGAAAATTCTGTGAAGCTTGATTGTCTCAACCTACTATCTTGAAATAGGTCTGGATGCAGAACTCAGAGGAAACTGCAACAGAGGTGCTCTGAAATGTTAGATCACCTGGACCATCTGATTCTGTTAGAGGTTCTTCCAGAGATCTTCCTTTAACAAACCTGATTTTTCTAACACAGAAAGAATTCACAGCCTTTCATTTCCTGTGCAAGATAAAACGAAAACTCTTTTCAATGGAACATACATATTACTTAAATGTTGAGGACAAGGCATGTTCTAAATATCTATGTTGGCCTAATGCAGCAGTGGGTATAATCCAATATCTTCTAGCAGCTTTTCCTCCTTCTAGAGCCATCACAAAATTTCAAGATCAAATAATAGCATACAGTGCCCAAAGTCTTCATGTATTTTCCATTTTACGTGGCGTTATTTTAAACTGTGTTCCTTTTTCATTTATTTTTTAAGTTTTGGCTTTTCAAGCCAGGATTTTCCTGTACCTCTGTGGTTGTCCAGGGATTCACCCTATAGACCAGGCTGTCCTTGAACTCACAGAGATCTGCCTGCCTCTGTATTTCATGTGTTGGGATGAAAGATGTGGGTGGTAGAACACCCAACCCCTGAGTTTCTTTTTTTCTTTGACATTTTAAGGATTTTACCCTTTTTCATTTCTTTCCCAAGCCTATATATATATATATATTTAGAACCGTAAACTGTGTGGATTCTTTTTTTTTAATAGTCTGAATCTACCTTTACTGTCTGTCTCTCTCTTTTTCTGACCACATTAGTCTCTCATTTGATAAATCTTATGGCTGGCATTAAAGCCGTTGGCTTGATGGCTGGATCCCACCCATTCCTTGGCTTTCTGAGATCCTATCTTCCTGACAGAGGTACTGACTTGAGCCATGTTTATTGCCACAACTCCGTGGAGTTTCCAGGTCCCTGACACCTCCTAGATGCATGCTGTCCACAATTCATAAGCACCCTTTAAGTGTTTCATGGCAGCTCCTCTAAAACTTCTGTAGAGTTTGCAGCCTAAGCTGAGTCAGGAAACCTCCCTAAATGAGTTGGACTCATCTCTAGCAAAGAGAGCAAACCTAAGAAATGTCTACTACCAAGAAACCATGCTTAACATTGTTATTTCATGCTTTTTGTGACACTATTTCTCTGTGTTTCTTTGGTTTTCCTGTAAATCTCTCTGTAGTTCAGGCTGTCCCTGAATCACAGGGCTCTGTTTGGTTCTTCTCCCAAAATCCTGGAGTCAAAGTTTTGTGCCACCTTACCTTTTACTCACAGAATTTACCTGCCTCTACCTCTCAGTTGTTGGGATTAAAATGTGTGCAGCCACACCCAACTCCTTTTTTCCTTTCATTTTTATTTTAGGAGTTTAATCTTTTTATATTCTTTTCCAAGCCTCTATCTATTTTTGAATTGTAAACCGTTAAAGTCTTTTTTTTTGTCTTAATCTATTTTTACTGTACATCTCTCTTTTTCTCATCCATGAGTTTTAGTTTGCTAAATGATTTGGTAAGGATTAAATCTGTGGCTTTGATGGATGGACCCATCACATTCCTTAGCTTTCTGAGAGTCAATTTCATGAGGGATGTTGTAGCTAGAACCAGGTGTATTGCCACAACTCTCGGTAGTTTCAAGGTCCCTGACACCACCTAGAAGCTTTCTGTTGGCAACCCATAACCACCTTTTAAGGTTTTGTTGGCAGGGCCTCTTAAAATATTTGTAAGCTTTCACAGCTAATGTTTACTCAGCAATCCTTTCTTTAATGAAATGCATGTCCCTCTATCAAGGAGAGCAACCTTTAGAAATTGCTGCTACCAAAATGCCATGCTTAATTCTGTTATTTTGTGTTTAGAATTACTCCCCAAGTTCTCCCTGTGAATCCAGTTGTCCGCATGTTTGGTACCATGTGTTTACTGAATTTGCATGCAGCCTGACCTAACTAGAGAGAATTTTCTATAAAGATAATATCTATCAAATTCTATTATCAGTACAAAGTGACCCAATTAAATTATGAGCATTTTCACAGCAGAATAAATTCTTATTAATTAGAGCTGTCAAGGAAAAGGACCTTGTACTGATTTGACTTATGTAGCACATTCTGAGTGTGTCTACTAAAAGACTTAGTTACAGAGAGCAAAGCCTTTGAATTCTTACTTGAATCTATAATTATTCATTTGATTAGTGACCCAAATTGTTCACTTTTCCAGCCTCCAACTGATTCATCAGGAAAAGTCATGTACTTAAACAGTCTCCCAAGTAAAGGTAGAGACCAGATTTGCGGTGTGTATAGATTACAGGAAATTTCCAAATCAAACTCCAGGCAAAGCACCCTGAGAAGCTTGGTAAAGAACAGCACACTCTGCTTTCTATGATCCTTGGTAAAGTGTTTATGCAAAAATTCTAGGCGTGGACTCCACTCAGAATGGGCATGGTGTGCCCAACCCTAGTCTTTGTAGCCCTGACCACTACTGGGCAAGCTTTATAAAAGGAGACTAGTGAAGTGTGGAGGTGATTTCCTTCCTCCTGTTGCTCATTCTACAAAGCCCCTGATGTTGTGAATTCCTAAATTCTAGCTGACATTTTCAGTCTATTTGGGGTTACCACCAAGCAACTGTCTCATATATTTGACTATCTACAAGAACCTTAAGCTCTAAAGTCTAAAAACATACTTCATCAAGATGTCCTCCTTTCCTAAAGCACCTGAGGAAATAGTTGAGGTCTTCCAGGGCTTTATTGAAGCCTGTAAGGAGCAGAACAAAATCCCATGTGATTTTCAATGGAGACCCTGCATTCCTCAGCCTGACAAGGGTAAAATGTTCTATGGAGGTCAGATGAAAGTCCCCCAAGAACAGATAAACCACTATGATCATATGACATCTTTCAGTGATGAGAATAAAAACAGAAATCCCATGATAATCCAGGGTAGTAAATACAGCCTCAGTGGGTATTAGAAATCAGTTTATAGAGCTGACCAGAATCTCTCCAAGGATCTTCAGATGACATGTAAAGTTGGTGGTCATACTCTCTATTACTGTCTGATTCAAACCCCTCAATATTAAACAGTTTATCAAGAGAGCATGAAGATAAGATGCAGTGAGAAAGACAACCAGTTCCAGTGTCCGGAAACAACTCCCAGTTGTGACGACAATTATTTGAATCAGATGAAGACTACCTCTGTACTATGTCTGCTCAGGTGGGAAGCCATCACTCACTGTTGAAGGAAGCCACAGTCTTCAGATGCCTTTATTTAGTAGTCAAACACGATATGTGGATCAATCTACGTATCTTTCCTCTTCCTTTATGAGCCAAAGTCCAGATCCATGTGATTCAGAAGTCTTCCACTTTGAGGTTCTTCTGTACCTACCAGGATCTTACACAAAGTCTTTCTACCTCAAATCTTACACAAAGTCTTTCTACCTCAAATACCATATGAAGAAACACACTGGAGAAAAGGCCTAGGTGTGTAGTAAGCCTGGATGCAATTGGAAATTTTACCATTCTGTAGATCTCCTAAGGCACAAAAGAAAGCACATTGCAGAGCATCTTCACGCTTGTCCAACACGCAATAAGAATTTTTCCAGATTATATTATCTCAAGCAGCATCAGAGGGTGTATACTTGAGATTTACCGAGCCTGATGGTCCACAAGCAATATCTTACCTAATAAAATTGTATTGTTTCCTACCCAAAACAACATCAACAACCATTTGCTAATGTTGTTTGTAGATGATAAAAATAATAAACATTGAGAATATGATACTCTATCAAATAATTTAAGAATAATTATTTTGTAGGCAGGGGGCTCTTCTTAAGTTTCCTTTACTTTCTTCATTTTTTTGCTGTTGTTGTTTTAATAGAGACAGTATCTAATTATGTAACTCTGACAGTTCTGGATCTCAGAACTGGTGTTAAGGGATTTTACTG